TATCTTCATGTATATATATACAGCAGCCTCTTCTTCCTCTCTTACACTTGCGCCCGCACTTTCTCACTGATCGTCCTGTCATTCGTCCTCATAATGCAAAAAGACGGTACACTGCAGGTCAAGGGATTGATAGTTTGAACGTGGAAAACCAGTTCACGTTTTGGGTATCCTTTCGAGCTGTCTACACAAGTTTTAAGTGTGTGTTCCCTTCTTTGACAATTCTTTTGGCCGTGCGATGCTCATTGGTAGACTTAAGTCAAGATGCCGGAACCAGGACAGGTCATAGAAAGAGTTGGTTACCAAGTGTTGTCGCTCCGCCATCTTAGGCATACTCCTCAATGCAGACTTTAACCGCATAGAGAAGATGGCGCATGCTTTGTTGCAAAGAAACATAGACTGCTTACATGTCCGCATCCTCTGCCTTGCGAGTTTGCTTTGATCAACGTTTGCGCCGCAGACCTAAAGATGATCCTGTCCTGGTCACATTAGCAATCTGCGTGTGGACGCAGAGTCTCCGCAGTGCCCTGTTTTTGCGCCGTCTCACCTGAGCGCAGAAAAAAATGACGCGAGACGTGGAACCCCAAGAGGGCGACGACAATTGGCGAGGCCCCACGTCGTGCCAGTTGAGATCGAGGTTTCGTAAATGGGCTGTCCTTTTTTTGACCCACGCACCCTTTTTCTTTGACCCCTTCTTTTTTTAAATTACACCACCGTAGACCCCAAACAGTTTGTGTCTTTCGAAATCGGAACACTCTGCAACTAGAGCCTGCGACGTCTAGAGCTGGGAGACAAAGGATTGCAAGGCAGAGGCGGCCACAGCAGTCCGGAGCTGGGAGACAAATGCAGACACAGGGAGACAAATGAAAAGGATTAGGCGGACACAGCAGTCCAGAGCTGGGAAGAAGAGGAGACAAATGAAAGGAAGCGGGAGACAAGACAGCCGGGAACCCGACCGCAAGCACCCAAGCCTGGGAGACAAATGAAAAGAATTGGGAGACAAGTGAAAAGAAGTGGGAGACAAATGAAAGGAAGTGGGAGACAAGCCAGCCGGGAACCCGACCTGGGACAAATGAAAAGAACTGGGAGACAAATGAAAAGAAATCGGAGACAAATGAAAAGAACTGGGAGACAAATGAAAAGAAGTGGGAAACAAATGAAAGGAAGTGGGAGACAAGCCAGCCGGGAACCCGACCAGACCATCCAGCACCAAGGCGAATGGAAAGCCCGACCACAAGTGTGGGAGACAAATGAAAGAATTGGGAGACAAGTGAAAAGAAGTGGGAGACAAATGAAAGGAAGCGGGAGACAAGCCAGCCGGGAACCCGACCACAAGCACCCGCCTGGGAGACAAATGAAAAGAACTGGGAAACAAATGAAGGGAAGTCAGAGACAAGCCGGCTGGGAACCCGACCAGACCATCCAGCACCAAGGCGACCATTCTGTAAAGCGTTGAGAACCCCTAACAATAAATTCGTTGGGGAATTAACTTAATCAAACATGATTGAAGCTGGAAGCTTACATCACTAACAAAGACTGAAGGCTTGCGGATCCAATTACCTCAATATTTGAAAGAAGAAGGGTCGCTAGGAGAAGAGTTGTATATCAAAAAAGTAGGGTTGTAGGTCAGAAAACAAGGGTTGTGGGTCAGAAAAGAAGGGTTGTGGGTCAGAAAAGAAGGG